GAAAAGGTCGGCAGAGGGGAGAGAATTGGTGTTGGTAGGATGTCCTGTTTCACTGATTGCTTCTAGTTTTGTAGCCTTGACCCCTTCACAGATAATGTGAGTTTATACTTGAATGATTCCTTATTATACTCTTGTTGAGTGAAGAAATACATTCTTGAATTAAGAGCTGTGACTAAATGAGGTGGTATAACTCTTGATATAGTGAGATCTCTTAAGAATCTTATCAAGCAAGTCTCAGAGTTAAGTGAAAGTACATACTCTAAATTTTCCTCTGAATGTTGTGATTTAAAAAAAAAAGTGTGGATAAGCCTATTTTCTCTACCTGAAAGGGGGGAATAGTAAAATATAAACAAGATAGGTTTACCATTGAACACAAGGAGAAATTTATGTATACAAGAACTGGGGTGTAGGCCACAGGTGGGGGGAAAGGTGAAAGGATACCCCAGAGATAGAGTGGGGAGTAGAATAATATTTCAGATTCACTGAAATACACTGCTCAGGGGAGTAGTGGGTGAGACACGGGACTGTGCCGTGTGGGTCAGCTCCCTGGCCAGGGATGGAACTTGGGCAGCAGTGGCTGCTGCTAACTTAGTGGCATTGAGGCCTAACTCCTGTGCCACCAGGGAGGCCCTGTGATTCTTTTCAAACAGCAACATGTAAGGGATACAAGCCATCCACTCCAGGGGTAAGATGTTCTCTTGAACACTTTGCTGTCCTGGCAAAAGTAGAATTCATAGAAATCATTTGAATTAGAAAAGAAAAGCAGTGGTACTTTCTACAGTCTATGCATTAGGGCTATATGGTCTACAATGAGGTGATGGTTTAGTTCTTAAATGAAGATGCAGTTAGATACTTTATTGTTCTGAGAAACGAGGTTAAGGTAACTGGTTCTTGAGAGAGGAGAACATAGTTTGAAGATCTTGAGAGCAGAGACCATATGCTTCCAGCATTAACCCTATAGCACATTATGGGATTCACCTTAACAGTTCGGGTTCTAAAGCCTCCAGATAAATTCTTTAGTGTGGCATTCATTCAGACCACAGTCTGATCACCGACCTTGTGTGTCATACAACGTATTTTTTTAAGACTATTGAATCCTTGCCATATACCTTGTATTTACATGATTTTGTTCATACTGTATCCTCAACTTGATAGGCCTTTATTTACACCTGTCAGATACTGCTAGTGCTTAGTAACCCTTTCATTTCAGACCATTCCTCCCAGTGGGTGTCCCTGGATACTAATCCCATCACCAAGCCACCACCACCATTTAGATTTAGTTCTGCCCATTGCAGCTCTGTTGGGACTTAACACCATTGACCTACTTTGTCAGACCATTTTTGTGACCAGGGTGTTCTCCCTCCTGCTCTCCACATGTGGGGGGAACATTCCTAGCATTTGAAATCATAGGGGTCAGTATATTCACTCCTGACCTTGGACTTTGGATAAGTCACTAGATTTGTCTAATCCTAAATTAGAAACATCTTACCCCTTTCAGAGTACTAAAGACCAAGACTTAGGGGGTAAAGTTAATTTATAAATTAATAGAAGCCATCTGAAGGTAGGCAGGAATATTTTATGTTTTGTTGTCCTTTCAGTAACATAATAGAAAGCTTTTCTTTGTTCTTATGTTTAGAGCTTTACAGAGGACAAGTTTTCAGTGATTTTGACTGCTGAAATAAACCAGGGAGCTGATAAGAGGCATACTTGCTATTCTGAGGAGTACCTAAAGGGAAGAGCCTGCATCTCCAATAAGCTCAAAATTAAAAGATTTACAATAAGAAAGTAGTTGATAAAGGAGGAAAGAAGGACATATTTGATCTAGAAGAGGACTTGACCAAATTTTGTCAGGACTAGATATTAAGCTTATTTGGTTGGTAAAGGGTAAGATAACTTTCCCAAGGCTATAATTGCATATTACTAAGTTCTGTCCATACTGATTCTAAACATCCACAGATTTGTGTATCTGTATCTGCCTACGCATTCCTATTAAAACCACTTCAGCATTCCTGTGCTCTATTGGTTACACTACAATTTTACATAAGCTAGACAGAAGAAATCCAAAAATGAAATAGAACACCAGCAGCCACAATTCTGGCAAGCTATTTATAATTCCACAGTTCACTAACATGTCTGCATTAAAAGGTCACAAATTACTTCCTGTATTTACCGATGCAGTGAGCTTCCAAGGAGACTAGAGTAATACCATTTTGAGCTCTTTGCAAAGGTGCACTGTCAGTACAAATTGGAACATAATTATTCACGGACAGAGAAAGTTCTAGGACTTGATTATTGGATGGCCTTTAAAAAAAGGGGGGGGGGCCTCCCTGGTGGCGCAGTGGGTTAAGGCACAGCACTGAGAAGCTAAAGCCACTTCCACATGAATTCGATTCCCGCCTGCCCAGGAGATCCACATGGCGAGGCAGACCTCTCCTGGCCAGCCTACTGCTCCCCTCAGCAGTGTACTTTGTCGATCTGCCTGTTCTGTTCCTCACTCTTGTCTCTGGTGAATCTTCTCACCCTCCGCATCTCTGGCCTGTACCCCAGTTCTGTAAGCATAAATAAATAAATCTTAAAAAAAAAACTTCTAACG